CACCACCTAATCAAGTGAGAGTTTGGTGTTTTGTTTTCCCTTCCAGTCCTCCAGAAGACACACTCTAGTGTCCCTCTGGGAACTGATGGCTACTAGCCAGGGCCACTCTGGTGTAGCCTAAAAACCAGGGGGTGAACAGATTTGGCTCCCTTGCTCAGAAAAGAGGAAGGCACCCCTTTCTGGTCAAAAGGTTCACAATCTCTATGTGTGCAATTAACCATGGAAGCTCAACCAGGATGAACCTGCACAACTTCTGAGAAACTTAGACACCTCTTTCTCACTCTAAACTCTCCCATGAAGACAACCAGGCATCCTGCTCCAAAGTCTGAAGCCAAGTGATCCCAACCAGCACTGGAACAGGGAGTCTTCCTTTAACTTTTCCCCTCACACTTGGATGGAGCACCCTGCATAATTCATACCTGAGCTGAGCTGGGGTTGCTCACCCAGGGTTCATCCAGTGGAAGGCTCTGGCACCCGGAGAACATTTCTAATAGGTGGGACACCCCTTTGGAAAGTGCATGTTGAAGTTTCTCAGTGCACATGAGTGGAACCCTTTCCCCTTGGTAGGATGCCCTGATGAAAATGGTAGTTTGTTCCCCACCAGACATGTTTTTCCTGGTTCTGTCATAGGACAATGCCCCTCCATTCCCTCAGACTTGCTTCTTAGCTGCATTTTAAAGCATTGGGAAAAAAATTGACCCTCAAACTCTCAAAAAGAAACATCTAATTTCCTTGTGTAATACAGCAGGGCCACTTTATAAACATCCATATCAGGAATGCTCCTGGCCTCCAGGAGGGACCCATGCCGGCAACACTACCTTAGAGTTGGCCTCTCCTTTCATAATTCCTCCGTATGCTGAAGTTTCTTCTGTCCAGGCTTTCACGATTCTCTCTCCGGACCCTAACTTGCAACAGACCTGTCAAATGCGCTTTGTTAGATTCTGTGGCCCCATTGACTCTTCTAATATTTTGGACAACATTCCTTTACTCTCTGTCATTCTCCCTAACCACGTGAATCAGTTAAGGCCACACCTCCTGCCCCTAATAAACCACCTTTATGTTCAATTACACCTACTCCATCTGATCCTCCTCCCTCCCCTTCCCAACAATATCCCAACCGTGGATGTGATTTTCCAGTGCCTCATATTCATTAAAGACCCCTCTTTCCTTCACATACTAGGTAGGGGCCACCTATGATCCCATTTCCTCTCCTGAAAAAGTTCTGCTGCTCTGGGAGGTGGCAAATGGGATCTAGGCACCATCAGAGTTCATGTTTCTTTCCCAATGTCTAATCTTTCCCAAATAGAAACTAAGCTTGGCTCTTTCGGTTAGGACCCTTCTCCCTTCATGAAGGAATTTAGGGGACTTACTGTTTCCTTCACCCTCATTTGGCAGGAGGACATCTATATTATTTTCACCACCTGTTGCACTGATGAAGAAAAATCTTGCATTTGGTCTCTGACTCAAAGATGGGCAGATGAGGTACGTGCCTGAAAACCCCAGAATTCTGATCCTCAGAGAACTTCAGTGTCTGGCATTAATCTGAGATTGGGTCATCAAGAGGAGACCATGACAGAGAACATTGTAATCACATGATTACTTACTTGATTAAGGCCATGAAAAAAGCTACTGTTAGCTTTTCCAAACTAAGAAATAATGCAGGTGAAAAATGCAAACTCAGTCTATTCCATTGCTGGCTGCCTGAGGCCGTGAGAAAATATGTTAACATGAACCGCAAGAACCCAGAAGGCCTTGCCATCTTGGCTGTTTATTTCATCAACCAGGCATCTGCAGACATTAGACACAAACTCGAAAACTTAGATCAGAGACCACAAACTCTTTTTCCCCCCATTGCTGGACAAGGCCTTCAATGTCTTCAATAACAGAGAGGAGGTCTTGAGACTCAAACATGACAGGAAGGAATGAGAAAGAGATAAGTGGCTGGCCTACAGTATGTCCACCACTATCACTAATTCCTAGCCTCTACCAAGGGATCCCGCTTTGCTGTCTCTGTTACCAGTCAGTCAAAGCACATTAGCTGACACTGCTGAAACCCTCCCCTGCCCTCATCGAGTCCCCAGTGACAACCACCTGGCCCCTGCCCACACTGCAAACAAGTAGAGCGCTGGAAACAGGACTGCCCCTCTCTCATGTGGGAAAGTCACCCATTTACCAGCTGCGTCAACTGTGGGCCAACATGGGAGAATAGCAAAGGCAAATGCCCTTAAGTTTGTTCCTTGACTATGAGGAAACCTATGGGTATAACAAGGAAAAGGGGATAAATCTCAAGGAGGGCCTCTCTGTCTCAGGGATTGACAGGACCCAGCGGCCATCCAGGCGTCTGCATTTTTTCATCACCATGGCTGAACCCCAGACATGGCAGGAAGAAGAACTGAGTTCTTGATCAACACGAAAGTACATTTTTCTGCCCTATGAATTTCCTGGACCCTCTCTTTGTTCCTCAATGTCCCTCACTGGCATAAAAGGTCAGCCAAAACAGAAATGACTTTGGGAAAACATTTTCACTCATTTTTCCTTGTCTTGACAAGTTGCCAAATCTTGCTACTTGAGAGGGACACAATGACAAAGCTTCAAACCAGCCTCAAGCATTTGAGCTTGCAGGCCCATTATCAGCTTTACTAGCACCTGGAACCAAAAGCCCAAAGGTAATAACACCTTTCATTGTACAACAAGTTATTCCTGAGATATGGAACACTGTGACTCCAGGACTTTCATTTTTCACAGACCTTGTAAAAATTCACTTTAAAAATTCCAACTCCTTCCCTAGGAAGCTCCAATATTTTCTAAAGCCTGAAGCTCAAATAAACTTATAGCCCCTAATAGAAAAGATTTTGGCCATGGGATGACTGCATCATTGCAACTCACATTGTAACTCACCCTTCGTGGCAGTCAAAAGGTCTGATGGTACCTGTAGAATGGTGCAAGACCAGAAGGCCATCAGTGAAGCAGTAATCTCAGTGCATCCCATTGTTTCCAATTCTTACACCCTGCTGGGGCATATTCCTTCTGGCATTTCTTGGTTCACCAGACTAGATCTAAAAGATGTCCCTGTTTTGCATTCTAGTACATGCAGACTCTCAATTTGTATTTGGCTTTGAATGGTGGGAGACCCTTCCACTCATGTTTCCCAACAATCAATCTGAGCAGCCCACCCTCAGAAATTTAGAGATAGCCCACACCTGATTGGACAAGCTGTCTCCAAAGATCTGTCCAGCTTTCAACTGTCCCTCAATAGAGCCCTGCTTCAAAATGCTGATGGCTTGTTTATTTGCTGTCCAATCAAAAATGCCTCAGACCTAAATACTAATAAAACTCTTCAGAGGTTGGCCTCCTGTGATTATAAACTCTCTCCTTCCAGGGCTCAAATCTCCCCTCAGGAGGTTCAGTTCTTGGGACTAACATTAATCCCAGGGTCCAAGGTTCTCTCAGACCACCACAAAATCTTACCTTCTTATCACACGGACATTCCATTCACTCAACAGCAGTTGCTGTCCTCTCTGGGAATAGTAGGCTTCTATCACACTTGTACATCCTAGGTTGAACTTATAGCAAAACTTCTGTATGAAGAACTACAAGGACCAGGGGAGGGACCCTTAAATTAAAATCTTGAATGGGCAATGCCCTGAAAACCTTCAAACAAGCACTCACCACCACCCTGAGCCCTGGCCTTGACAGATCCCAGAAAGCCTTTTTACTTGTTTGTACATGAGAGAAGGGGTATCATCCTTGGAGTCCTTACACAGGCACTGGGACCCCCACAATGGCCAATTGCTTATTTATCAAAAACCCTTGACCTGCTGGCATGGAAATTGTCTCCATGTCTTTGAGCATTGGCATCTGTGGGAAAAACTTAATTGGTATTAGTACTAGTTAGAATATCAGGATCATCTGATAGTAGGTAGCTAGTCAGGCATGAGCAGGGCAGGAGAGGGCTCCACCCTTGTCTCCCACCAGGAATTTCAGGCAACCATGAGGTAATGGTCAGGCACTTAATTACACTGTCTTTCTAAAATAATAGTTGGTCATATCTGGTGCCAGGTAAAGGCAGTCTCCCAATAAAGAGATAGATGATAGATAGATAGATAGATAGATAGATAGATAGATAGATAGACCAAGCTTATTATAAAACTGGTGATTAGCAGTTTCCCAATCAGATCTCAGGAACTGAGTGAGTGGACTCAAGCATGTATATTAAGAGCCAGAGTTTAACTGCCATATGACCTTCTACTAGGAATGCTACACAGGAAAGGGAACAATGCTTCAAGTGAGCATGAGTACAACTCCAGTAAACACACTGCACATGTGGCCCTTCCCAAGTGCTGCCGCACATGTGGACAGCAAAGGGAAGAATAGGGAGAAGTAACAGAAGACCTTGAAAGAATGACAACATATAAAATCTCAGGTCAAAAGATCAAACTGTGCACTTGATCTCTCGAGTCACCCGCTTGGCCCTCTTCCAAGTGTGTTTTACTACTTTTTAGTCTTGCTCTAAAAATTTTTGGTAAAGTTTCATTCCTTCTCTAAAACTTGGCTCTGTCTCTCTTTCTGCCTTATGTCCCTCAGTCTAACTCTTTCCTCTGAGGAAGCAATAATTGAGTTTGCAGCAGATTCGTACTGATTCACAGCTGCTAACAATTACCTACATTTGAGTTAAGAAAACATGTTCTCTTTGTCTGCTGGCAAAACAGAGGATTTGATTTTATTGTTACCTTACACTGGATTAGCTGATTGTTACCAAAAAGTTAATCTTTGAGAAAATAAATACACAAGAACAATTATCTAAAATAAAATGAATATATAAAATTTATTAAAACTAAATGGCATGGAGTAATTTAAGGAAAATTATGTCAGAGTAGTATATGCAAAAAAAGGAATATTAGACACAACATGTGAGTTCTAGCTACTCAAATGAAAATGGTAGCAAATGAAGTGCTAAGAACAGAAGACAAATTCACTCAAAATCAATGTATTGCCTGTGGTTGATTTTTATGGTTATTTGGTAATTTAAGTTTCTTAATAGAATGTATGTTCTTAAATTTCAACTAAACATGAAATAAGTTTTCTAGAGCATAGAGTTCTTCAAAAAGTTTATAGAAAATGACTATTATGGAAAAACACCTAGATTTTGACATTTTGGCACAAAAGTAAACTCGTTATACCTTGTTATAAAATCTCTGAACAGGATATACTTTGAGGAATTATGACGGTTAAGACATCAGTTCGAAAAGAGTGCTTATCAGAGAAACCTGAATTCTGCTAAAATTGAAAAAGAACAAACATCAAATTTACATTAGCGTTCTGGTGCAGGAATGGTGAAATCATTTCTACAGTACAGAATGTTTTTGTGGACAACATCCTCAAAGAAATCAGCAGTTGACCAAAGGGTAGCTTGTTATAAGAGATAAGATATGTTAAACGTAACTTACAAAATAGCAGACCGTCCACATCAATTTGCAAAGAAAAAAAAAAAAAAGCTTTGTGACCCAGTTGAAGAGAAAAGATGATTACTAGCATAAGCCACATCCAATACCATAGACATCTTAAACAGTCCAGCTTGCAATTCTGACTGAAAGATTAAAGTAGAGCAAACTTTTCACGTAAAGGGGGCCAAACCATTACTAACAGATCAGCTGCAAACAATTTCAGAGCTTCCAGTAGAAATTTCAGGCAAGTGGGATGGAGATCCTGCAGCATTTGTTTGAAGAATTGTAACAGGAGATGAAACACAGCCTTCCCAGTATGATCCTGAAGACAAAGCACAATCAGAGCAATGGCTACTAAGAGGTGGACATTATCAAGTCAAAGCAAAAGACAACCCGTCAAGAGCAAAGGTTAATGTTCAAGATATTTTGCTCAATGACTTTGTGGAAGGCTAAATAACAGTAATATCTGTTTATTATGAGATATTTTAATATCTTGAACCAGGAGGTGGAGGTTTTGAGAAAGTTATCTAAGCTTTAGCAGAAAAAATGCCCAGAAAGTTTCACAAGAGCCTTTCTCCACCAAATGTTCCTGATCATTTATTTCATCAAACAAGGTCTATTTTATGAGAATGTCTATGGAAAATCATCAGGTATTCACCCTACAGTCTAAATTTAGCTTTTTTTCTGACTTGTTTTCTTTCCCCAGCTTGAAAAATCTATAAAGGGCACCAGTGTTTTTTCAGTTAATAATTTAAAAATAACTGCATTGATGTTAAATTCCCAGGACCCTCAGTTCTTCAGGGATGAGCCAAATGGCTGGTATCTCTGCTTATAAAAAGGTCTTGAACTCGATAGAGGATTTTATGTTAAGAAATAACATTTATATTTTAATTCTTATCTTTTAATTTAATTTTTTTCTACAGACTTCATGAAGTTTCCTCATATATGTTCCATACTATGAAATATTTGGGCTAGGTGCGGTGGTTCACACATGTAATCCCAGCACTTTGGGAGGCCTATGTGGGTAGATCACGAGGCTGAGAGATGGAGACCATCCTGGCCAACATGGTGAAACCCTGTCTCTACTAAAAATACAAAAAATAGCCGGGCATGGTGGCACATGCCTGTGGTCCCAGCTACTTGGGAGGCTGAGGCAGAAGAATCTCTTGAACCAGGAGGTGGAGGTTGCAGTGAGCCGAGATTGGGCCCTTGCACTCCAGCCTGGCAACAGAGCAAGACTCTGTCTGAAAAAAAAAGAAAGAAACATTTGTAGACTGACATGTAATACATTACAATACAAAAAGATGCCACACACAAAAACTTTAAATGTCCTCAGGTATTTGTATTTTGTTCCTATTGCTGCTAGAACAAATTACAAATTTTCTTTGGATTATACAATAGAAATTCGTTTATCTTTTTAAATTTTGGAGGTTAAAAGTCTATAATATATCTCATGGAACTCAATTTAAGGTGTGAGAATGTCTGCAACTACTTCTTGGTGTCTAGAAGATAATACATTTTTTTGTTTTTTTTCAGTTTTTAGAGGATGCCTACAATCCTGGCTTGAGGCTGAACTTTCTTCATTTCCAAAGCCAGCAATGTCAGGCAGAGTTTGTCTCATGTGGCAGTCTCTCTGGTCTCTGGCAGAAAAGGGATTTTCTGCCTGCCACGTCCACTTTTAAGAATCATCTTATGCTGGTCCCACTGGAATAATCCAAGATGATCTCCTCGTTTTAAGATCAGCTGATTAGTAACTTTATTATTATCTGTAACCTTTAGTCATTTTCCTTTGACATATAAACTAACATATTCACATCTTTGGTGATTATTATTTTGCATATCACTGGGTTTGTGATTATTTATTTCAGTGTTCCATTTAAAATCTACTTGGCAGTATCTCAGAAACTCAACACATTTTCTAATGTTGAGATACAAAACAATAACATTTAAATGCATGATGAGACACTTTTTTCAAGTCAAGATGTTTGAATTCCTCAACAGAGTTTAACAGAAGTTAGGAAAATCTGATTGCCTTTTTCTGTACAAATATTACTATAGACAGACTGACATAAATAAAAGGCAAGCATCACTGTGTCTGTAGTTCTTTGATTTGTTAGTGTCAATTGTTCAATGATACTTGAGTAAATGATAAAGGTTATCAAGAACATCAAACTAGTAATAGTTTTCAAAACAAAAGATAAAATTACCTGATTACAGTGACTCAATATTATTTTTGTTACTCATTGATATGAACACTGTACCTCCACATGTGCTTATTAATCTTCAAGAATAAAAATATTTCCAAGGTGGATTGGGACTAAATTTCAAGAAACTTATTTAATTCTATGTATTTATGCATTCTGACAATTCGTCAACTCTATTTATGCTGAGGGTACACAATACTAATATTTGTCATGACATGTACAAAAGAAAAGTGCTTCGTGTTACATTTGCTATATAATTTTAATATCATTTTTCAAAAGAGAAATTTCAAGTTAAATGTCTAGAAGTACAATCTCAATGCCTTTAAAAGACGTATTAATTTTCCAAAGTTAGATTTGTTTCATTAATTATGTCCAACGGGATCAAGTCAGAGAAAATATTTTTTAAATATAAATGTAAGCACAATGTGTTGGAAATAGTAAAAATTCATACTGAAAAGCATTGCTCATGTGACTAGTAATTTAACAGTTTTAAGGTTTTCGTATACATCTGATTAAGATTCTTTGGCAAATTTAAACCATTTAACATTCAAGACACAAAATAATACTAAGACATGTAATCAATTGCCAATACATTTGAATTTGGTCAAATTACAATATTAGTGGTGATGAAAGTAAACGTTACTTGATTTCAATCAGAAATATTTTCTGGATGTTGGTAAGTAACACTTTGCAAGGTAAGTGCACTTAATGGCAGAATTTTGTAGGAAGGTTCTCTTCAGTTTAGTTATAGATTTACATATCTGCTTTCAGAAAAAAAAAATCACCAAAAAACCTCGTCTATGCCTGCAATAAATAATAGGTCATCCACCTGCTCTAAGTCTCCTCCACATAGTACTTACTGGAGTGCTTTAGAATTCTTGAGGTATCTGCGAGAGGGAAAGATGTATGCACCTTATACTCCAGTCATAGAATATATAATATATAATTCCAAATAAACACAGATGCTTGTAAGAGAAAATTACAAGAGTGAGACACTGGGATAGGGAGAACTAAATTTACATCAGTAGAATAGAATGCAGCATGTAGAATATGTATTGTACAATGTATTGTAGAATATTAATGCAATCGAATAATAGACCAATGTCACAATGAAAAACAACATACACACAAATTAACATAAATAAATACAACAGATTTGGGGTGAAGAAAGCAAGTTTAAAATTAAGATGTCATATAGTTAAATTATAAAAATGCATATAGTATTTATGAATTAGAAAAAAATCAAAATAAACCCATTAAGAATCTGTGGGTATTCATTAAAATAAAAAGATATGCATGAAAAAGCACAGAAATAAGTGCAGGGGTCAGCTCCTGGTAGACAGACAAATTTATTCAGGAAGGAGACATAGAGGACTTCAAATGTATTTGTAATGTATGACTGGGTGGTCGTTACATCAGGTTTTTTTTTTTTCAATTAATTTTGATTGTCTAAGTGATTTCATAAAGAAACTTTCCTTTATATGAGTATTATCTGCTAGTTCATATTTTCTGTTGTGTCATTTTTTTTCTATTTGGTAACAGTGAAACTTTGGAAAACAGAGTTAACAGAGATATTCCTTTCCAAAGCATCTTGCCTCAAGCAAAATTTCCAAAATGCCAGTCCTGATACAGTTTGCAGAGTGATTTTCTTTAGAAATCAGGCCAACTTCCACCTCCATCTTCCTTAGTTATTGATGAGAAGAATGTGGTCAGCAGTGCTTTCGCAGAATGGAAACAGATTTTGGGTACTAGCTGGCCCTTAACAATTGGCAGTCTGCCCTCTCTGAAATAGACACTAGAGCCTCAGTATATTAGAACCTCTTCCCAACTCATCTTCAATCAAGTAATTCAGAAACAAAAATTGTCACTCAAAAACTGTGACATTGGAAACCACTGACCTAAAAGATTCTTACCAGGAAATTTGATTGAGGTCACAGTAGACTACTTCCCTCAATAGCTGTGCCTGTTGATTCTACTAACAGTGTCCCCCACAATCATATAACACGGATTTGAAAATTGTTTCTGTGGCTAACTCAAAGCAAATATGCTTAGTAAATGCATGTCGATTATGCAAGAACGTACAGTGAAGAAGTTTGTCTACCTTGAGAATGTCAGGTACCTCAACTTGACGTAGTCACTAGATGCTCTCTTACTGGGTGAGCATTTAATATAGAAACAGTCATGAGAAGATATTAGAAAGGATGAACCTTATTATAACATCATGCATCATTGCATATTTCTGAAATCATTAGTTCAAGCTCTTTTTCAATATATCAGTGTCATTTTCATAATAATGATGCAGTCTTATTTATTATAATACATTTTCACTTTGGATTGCATCTTTAGAAACTACATCATATGTGGAGTATGAAGAACCTTACGATTAGCTTACTGCTATAAATAGTTTGACAGAAAAAACACTTTATGCAATAACTGTTATATTAAACTCTACTCTAGGACATTAACTCTGCTAAGGTAGAATTGATGTGGTAATAGTACACTGTTACTTTATGGCATCATTACACAAAGACACAAAGCAGTTTTCAGTAATAATATTAATAATCATAACACTAAATTGCTCATTTACTTTGGCTTTAAGTTAGCAGTTTCATCAAGCAAAACAAACTATTATCAAAAATTCATTTTCTGTTTTGTGTTCTGTTATAAATATTTAAGAAAAAGAGGTAAGAATGAAGTATGCAAATAGCCATATTTTATATGGAGATATCTTTAGAAAAACAGGATCTCTTTTGCTCCTTGAATCAACCAAGTTATAACTGAGAATCAATTTTAAATTACTTTTCACTGTCGCATTGCTTCCTCAAGGTAATTAAAATTCCTGGTTATATTATATACAATATTATACTTGCCTTAAATTTCACAGGATGGGAAGAAAGTTTCATATGTTGTCTAGGAAAGTCTTTCAATTGTATAGCTGTCCAAAAGAAAAATCCCATTTCATATTCTAACAGCATGTGTTGAAAAACATAGCAATGATTTCTTAAAAACTCTTCCAGGAATGACTACAGGAACCCAAATTTTGTTCTGAAAAGGCTACAGTACTTGTTCCTTGACATTTTCAAAGTTCATGTGATCCTGAGAAATGATTAAAGGTTAT